CTTTGTTGGTATGTGGTGCTGAGGATCGAACCCGGGCCGCACGCATGCCAGGCGAGCGCGCTACCGCTTGAGCCACATCCCCAGCCCCAAATTGTCTTTCAAAAAAGTTTGTCTGGGGTCTGGGGTTGTGGCTCAGTGGTAGAGCGCTTGCCTAGCATATGTGAGGCACTGGGTTCGATTCTCAGCACCACATATAAATAAATGAATAAAATAAAGGTTCATCAACATCTAAAACATTAAAAAAAAAAAGTTTGTCTGGGGGGGGCTGTGGTTGTGGCTCAGTGGTAGAGTGCTTGCCTCGCATGTGTGAGTCACTCACTGGGTTCAAGTCTCAGCACCGAATATATATAAATGAAGAAAATAAAGGTCCATCAACAACTAAAAATTTTTTTAAAAAAAGTTTTTTGCTGAACTTGGAGTATAGCTCAGTGGTAGTGCTTGCCTCACATGCACAAGCTCTGGGTTCAGTCCTCAGCACTGGAGAGTGACAGAGAGAGAGAGAGACAGAGAGAGAAAGATTGTCCAGTTTTACAGCCTCAGTAGTGCAGGGGGAGTGCATTTCTTCTCCACACATCTACTCAGCTGGCTGTCTTGTTTTTGTTGTTTGATACCAGGGATTGCACCCGGGGTGCTTAACCACTGAGCCACATCTCCAGCTTTTTTTTTGTATTTTATTTAGAGATAGGGTCTCTCTGAGTTGCTTAGGGCCTCACTGAATTGCTGAGGCTGGCTTTGAACTAGTGATTCTCTTGTCTCAACCTCCTGAGCCTCTGGGATTACACTGGCTGTAATTTTAAAAAATCTCTTATTTATTTATATTTTTTAAACCTTTAACTTAATTTTTAACTAATTTATTTCTATTTTTTAACTTTAATATTCATGCTGAGCATATTGTAAGAATACACCTGAATATAGTCAAACACAGCCATTGCATTAACATTTTCCAGAGAAACAGAACCAATAGTGTGTGGGGGAGATTGACAGATATCTATCTTAAGATGGGCCCACATGGTCATGGAGGCTGGCAAGTCCCAAGATCTGTATGATGAGTCATAAAGGCCTGAGAATTGGTTCAGTTAATGATTTCATTTCAGACTGAGGCCTGGCAGTCACGTGACCCAGGAAGTACCCATGGTCTGAAAATAGAAGAAAATCTAATGTGCCAGTCCAAAGGCTGTCAGGCGTGAAGAATTGACGTACTTGGGGGGAGAGTCAGCATTTTTGTTCTATTCGAATCTTTACTTGATTGGATGAAGCCTACCCACATTAGGGAGGGGAATCTGCTCTACTCATTCTGCCAATTAATCTCATCCAAAAACACCCTCACAGAAATCCCTAGAATAATGTTCAAACCTAATGTCTGGGCAGCCTGTGGCTGAGTCACATTGACAAATAAAATTAATTATCACATCCATAAAACCAGCACCACACCAAGAAACAACAGTACACGGCTAACTGGCTTTTAAGTGTTGATTTTAAAGTTGATATACATATTTTTCAGTATGTTAATGTGCCGGTGACCTGTTGACCCAGTAGTTCTCTTGTTAGGAATGTAGTCTGTGGAAATAATCACAGAGGTGGAAGATGAAGCTTGCATAAAAGACTATGTTGCAGGCTGGGGTTGTGTCTCAGTGGTAAAGTGCTTGCCTGGCACACACAAAGCCCTGGGTTCCCTTCCCAGCACCTCAGGAAAAAAATAAAAATAAATATGTTGCATTATTAATAAAAATTGTTGACCCGTGTTAAATGTCTAATAGGTCCTTTGCCTAGGGCTTTTACATATCATATCTGATTTGACCCTTACAACTTTGAAAAAGGTATCATTTATCTCATCTTATGGGGGAAATCAAGCCTCTGAGAAGTAATTGCCCAAGGCCATACAGTAAGTGATAACTGGGATTTGAGCCAAGCAATCTTGTTCTACAGGTGCATTTTTCTGTGTGTTGATAGTAGTAAAAAATCAGAAACTACTCAAACAAACATCAAAAGTAAATTGGGGCCAGGCGTGGTGTGCATGCCTGTAAGCCCAGCAACTTGGGAGGCTGAAGCAAGAGGATAACAAGTTCGAACACAACCTCAACAACTTAGTGAGACCCTATCTCAAAATAAAAAGGGCTGGGGAAGCCAGGAGCGGTAGCTTGGGAGGCTGAGACTGGAGGATCATGAGTTCAAAGCCAGCCTCAGCAATGGTGATACACTAAGCAACTCAGTGAGATTCTGCTTCTAAATAAATTACCAAAATAGAGCATAGGGAGGTGGCTGGGGAAATAGCTCAGTTGGTAGAGTGCTTGCCTTGCATGCACAAAGCCCTGGGTTCAATCCCCAGCACCAAAAAAAAAAAAAAAAAAAGTCAAAATAAGGCTGGGGATGTGGATCAGTGATGGAGTACCCCTGAGTTTAATCCCTGTTACCTACGCCCACCCCATCCCCCAAAAAATTAGGGCTGGGGAAGTTGCTCAGTGATAGAGTGCTTGCCTAGAATGCCCAAAGCCCTGGGTTCAACCCCCAGCATCACCAAAGAAAAAAGTGAATTGAATATATAAATTATTTCTATTCAGGGCTGGATTAAAGCTCAGTGATAAAGAACTTGCCTGGCCTCTGTGAGGCACTGGGTTCGATTCTCACACTGCATATAAGTAAATAAATAAAGGTCCATTGGCCAACTAAAACATTTTTTAAAAATTATTTCTATTTAGCAGAATAGTGTACAGCTGGGGCTAGAGATATAGCTCAGTTGGAAGAGTGCTTGCCTCTCATGCAAAGGCCCTGGGTTCAATCCCCAGCACCAAAAAAAAAAAAAAAAAAATAGTATACAGCTATTAAAAGAGATCTAGGACATACATAGTGGCAAAAAAAAAATGTTCATGTTTTGCAATTGCGAGATAGGATGTAGGTGATGAAGTCAGTATGTATATGCAGTATGTTGAGAATTTATTTTTGACGTTGCAGGACTTCGACAACATTCACTTTTTTCTCTGTATCTTCTGGACCACATTAGAATGAATATCCATTACTGTCCAAAAGGGAGGAAAACAGAAAAATGGCTCCAGAGAGGGGATGCAGCCCCTGGGAACTGGTCTGTGGGCATGGCTGAGTCCAATTCCATGCCTGGCTGGTCACCCAGTGGTAGCTGTCCATACTTCCTGACTCCTGACCTCTTCTTTCCCTCCTCTTAGGACGCTGTCTGTGACTGCAGTGCCCAGTCTCTTGCCTCCTGCTTTGCCAGGCCGTCCCGCTCTGCTATCCGCCACTCTCCTTCCAAGTGCAGGCTGCATCCCTCTGAGTCTGGCTGGGGCATGGAGGAAAGGGTGGCCCCTGCCAGTGAGTGACAGAGCAGCCTGGCTCCCTGCCTCGACCAGCCCAGTTCCTGGGAGGTGGAGAGGAGGCAAGGGGCCATGCCCTGGAGGGACAGCAGCTATACCACTGCCAGAGAAGAGCTTTCACATCAAGGTAAAGCGGGTCTCCTGCTGACCAGTGGGTGGTGATCTCTGACTCCCAAGGGAAGGCACTGAGTGGGAGACAGACCAAAATTGGGCCCATTGGAACCAACCCCTGGGTCCTAAAGGAGACCCTTGCCTGGATCCACCCATACCCACTTCTCAGAAGAGCCCAGGAAGAGATGCACCTCTGGTCATGCTTCGTGGAAGGGGACTCACAGAGATGTTCCCTGTTGACCACGTAACCCTTCACGGGGAGGAGACACCACCGAGAAAATGGGCTCTGCTCTAGGGCCCACCTTGGGTTCCTGGCAGAGCTGGGCTAGCCACCATCCCCTCCTCCTGGCCCTGCTGCTCTGGTTTGCTGGGATTCTAGGGGGTATGATAGGGCCGTAACCAGGGCCAAGAATATGCTCAGAGTCCTGGAGCCTTGGATCTCCTTGCTCATACCTGGAGCAGTAAAAACTGGGAGACAGTGGGAATGAGTAGGGCTCAGGTCAGGGAGCCATTGGAATTTCCTCCCTTGTCAAAGTGATGGGGGCGGGGGGAACCTTTTGGGAGACTCCGTGAAGACAGAAATAGGTAGAGTCAGTCTTAAGAACTGGTGCATAAAAAAAAAACCTGCCTACATGCCCATGCCTTGACCTGGGGCCTCTTTCCCCAGCACCCTGGAGGAGACTGCACCTCCTCTGTGTTTACATCCTGCAGCTGGTGGAGGGCAAAGAGACTCCCAACAGGAGACTCCCAATTGGTCACATCAGGCCAAGAAGAATTCACAGTAGACTGGAGCCCAGAAACACATTTCTAGATTGTTTATTTGAATTTTTCGTACTATAAATATTTAAGGTGGTTTACTTTATTTTAATAATTTAATTGACCCCAAAGTCCTTAAGGTAATTTATTGGAGATCGACACGTGTTCTTGCCACTGGGACAATGTGGGACTTGTAACACCATGGACAGGCATGGGGTCCCCAGTGTGGACCAGGTGGCTCAGCAGCCACGCTCTGGTCTACTGGTCAGTTAGGAGGGCCCCTCACCAGACCTGGTGCCCTGTAGCTTGCTCCCCCAACACCGCTGACCCTTTAGCCCAGAGCACTACTTGCCAGCACCTGGTCCTTGCCCAGCCCCCAGAGGTCAGCCTGTAAATGCTCTGGATGGGGTGGTGGGCCAGACTGTTGTCACCACTCCCCCGGCTTTCTCCCTTTCCCTTCTCCTTTTCCTCCCGTCTCTGAAACCTTCTGTAATGAGTCAAACATGGATTACGACAGCTCTATTAAGAGCACAGAAATCCCTCCAAGTTCCCTAAGTGAGAACTCGCAGGAAAACAGGATGGACTTCAAGAATGTTGTTTACTGCCGTTTTGCACATGGATCTGAGAGTGTCTGCCCGCCTGCCTCAGTTCTCACCAACCTGCCAGCCTTTTCACCAGCCTGTCTCCTCAGCCTTATGGCCTCTCACGGCTCTTCTCCCAGCCTCGGATCCACCGCCTGCCCTTTCCCATGCCCATGGCAGCTGCCCGCACCATCAGATGGACTGAACGTAACTCATTGCAGTACCGTGAGGAAGGTCTCATGTGGCCTCTCCCTTGGTGCCAGTGAACCCATTTTGGTTGTGCACATGCCCACCCCCTACACACACAGATGTGCAGCCCCACTGTCACTGACTGGGGACCCCGAGTTACATCACAGGATGGATTGGCTCGTCTACACAATTCCCCATCAGAAAAGCCAACAGCCCTGCAAGTTTTCCCCCGACCCTGGACTCAGCAGATGCCTCTGTACTCCCTCCTGCTGGTTCCCAGCCTACCCTTTCAGGGTCATCTGGACCACGTAGTTCTTCACCCCCATTCCCTATTGGCAGCACATCAGGGGCACGCCTGTCCTTCCAGCTGCTTCCTTGTGCCCCAGTCACTTGTGTGGGCATAGCTGGCAGGCCATGGAGCCGTGGGCTTTTCCCCCCTGAGATGCCGACCCTCCCACTCAAGAGGTCAGGGGGCCCCTCTAAGGTTATCTGCAGTGAGAGGATTCACACCAGGCCACAAGCCACCAGAGGCCTTTTGCCACCTCCCGAGCTGAAGAGGGCCAGGGAGGCTGCGCTCTCAGCCTTGGGGAAAAATCCCCATGAGACCTGAATTCACCCCAGGGCCCACGGGCCGCTCAGCCTTACCATCGTCCTCATCTGAGATTGTCGTGCCATCTTCGTTGTCTGGGCATCTAGCCCCCCCCAGCCCCCAGCGGGTGTTGGAGGCTCCAGGTCTTGGTTTTCAGTGAAGTCCCAGTTTCCACTCCTTGCATGCCACTGTGCAAGGCCACTCGTCACTGTTCCTCAGAAGCCTCTGGACATGGGGCTTGGTGGGGTTAAAGTGTTATGTGTAAATACTGGTTCGGTTTCATTTTTAGCATTTTACTTGGTAACTGGTTGTTTTCTTTTTGGGGGTGGGAGGGTTGGTTTGTAAAAACTCTCTACTCTTTTGGAATGTAATTTCTAAGTTTGTTTCTTCAAATGCCTTTTTTTTTTTTATGTCTTGGTAACATTCCCAAAGCAGAAAACTGCCTGACCCACAAGTGGGGGCTCCCCTGGAGGATTGGGGTGCCAGGAAGGAATGCTGCCCTTCTTCCCTTTCTTCCCCTTCCTGTTCCCATCTACCCTTTACTCCTATCTGCTTCCTCCTCCTCCTTCTTTAGCTTTCTTCCTCCTTTGCCCCATTTCCTCTCTTTTCAACCAAAGTCCCAAGGAACCCTGGGGTCCTAATCTCCTACAGACTGTCTGATGTGGGTGCATGGGTTGACATCAGTTGGTTGGGGGAGGTGTGGGACCAACTCCATGATTGACCCCAAACTGGGTGACTTCTCATTTCCTGTGTCTGACCTCTTCCCAGAGCCAAATTAGACCCTTCTGGAGGCAGCGGTGACTGTACATGAAATGAAAATAAATCGAACCACTTTGGTGCATTGGCTCTAAGGCCTGGATCACGCACAAGTCATCGAAATTCAGTTCCCAGTCCTACCAACCCTTTCTCCCAGTCCTTCCTCACCAAAAGCTGGCCTCCAAGAGGTCTTGCTGTCTATGACCACAAAAAAAGCCCTATCACTTGGCCCCCAAAGGAATGCTCTTCTATTTTCTGGCCTCCAGGTGACAAAGCTGAGGGCCCATAGACTTGATCCTCTTACACCCTGATGCTTGTAGGGAGCCATCATACCTGCTCTCAGGTACTTTTCATGGATTTATCACCCAGCCTCTTTTGCCTGGATAATGTCAAAGCTCTTCCTCCCTCTCCCTGCCCATCCAGGGTGTCTCCCTGCTCCAGCCTTATCAGCCACCAAGTCCCTCTACCTCTTCACTAATAATGACAACAATCCCCTGATACATCCCACCATGAGCACTTTACTGTTTGGAGATCACTTTCCTCTTCCCCATCTCCTTTAGGTCTCTCAAAGACAACTTTCCGGAGGACAGAAACTGAGATACAGGCCGCATCCCAGAGCACCCACCTGGGAAGCCAGCAAGTTTAGACAAGAACTTTGGTCTAGTGGATCCCCTAGCCCTACTCTGTCCCGATTGCTATGCAAACCCACTGTGTCACTGGGAGCACTGGCAGGGTTTAGGACACCCAGAACATGCCATAGCATGTTCACCAAAATGCCACCAACAAGTCTACCCACCCCATCACTGGACATGTGTTCCAGAGGGTGTTCCGAGGACCCCTGCATTGGAATCCTTTGAGGGCGTGTGCAAGATGCAAATTCCTGAACTCCACTTCAGCCTTCTGAGACAAGAATCTGCATGCTTAGCCAGTCCCCAGGGGATCCCAAGCACTCCTGGCCACAGCCTGACCATTAGGCCATCATTCTTTTCACCAGTAATTACAATGTTATATTATTTTATTTTTGCAGTAATGGGGAGTGAACCTAAGGGCCCTCCACCACCTAGCCACCTCCCCAGCTCTTTTTTATTTATTTATTTATTTATTTATTAAATTTTGAGGCAGCATCTTGCTAAGTTTCTAAGCCTGGCCCCAAACTTGTGATCCTCCTGCCTCAGCATCCTGAGCTGCTGGGATGACAGGCAAGCACCACCATGTCCAGCCTGCAACACTGTATTCTTAATAAGAGTACCGAGCGCCAAGCTGGGCCTTACAGAATCGCGCCAAGCTGGGCCTTACAGAATCTGGTCCTTCACCAAACTCTGCTTTGGTCTAATTACCCTGAAGATTTCCCAAAAATTCAGAAACAATGAACAATCTTATACATTTTTTTAATAACTTTTTTAACTTGTTGATAGAACTTTATTTTTATTTATTTATAAGTGGTGCTGAGGATCGAACCCAGCACACATGCTTGGCAAGCGCTCTATCACTGAGCCACAACCCCAGCCCCTTAATCATACACATTTAATGAGACAGAAAAAAATAGAAAATCAAAAGGCAAGATAATGTATTCTTCATGTCTGCCTGATTTAATTCCCATAAATGTTACTCTTGTGTTTCTTCACAGCCATAGCAAAAAGAAAAAAAAAATCATATGATTTTATAACTTTCATCATCCAATCATGGCAAGCAAGCAATTCTTCTGCTACTAATTTTATATATATATATATATATATATGTCCTCTCTTCAAAGGCCATGGAGCCACTTAGTGTTTTTACAAGTTAAAGCTAAGATGCAAGGATGTTTTCCAGGAGACTATTGTTAAAAAAATAACAAACTGCCACCAACTTGAATGACCTTGGCTCAAATCATGTGGCTAGCCTATGCCTCAGTTTCCCCAGCTATAAAGTGGGGATAATGGCCTACCTCTTGTGGCTGTAGTGAGGACCAAATACAACACTGTGCCTGCAGGTCTACCTGGAAAAGTTTGAGGTTCTATACTAATGTAAATGGTTTGACCACACTCATTGTTCCCAGGTCCCTCAGTGCCCTAGTGCTGGGGATGACACCACCTCATCTGTTCATTGGTTTTAATAAATAAAAAGGAGACTACATGTGAATCTGTACCAGCCCCCTCACTTATTTTTTTAATTGTGGCAAAATATACATATCGTAATTGGCTACTTTCACTTTATTTTTAGTGGCTTTTAGTATGCACACAGTGTTGTGTAATCCTCACTCCCAGCCATTTCAGAACTTTTTCGTCATCCCAAACTATAACTCTGTATCCTCTAAACACTAGTTCCCCATCCTCCCTGCTGCCCCCGGGATCCTCTAGTCTTCTAGAGGATCAGCCTACTCTCAGAACCTCATGGAGGTGGAATCCTACCACATCAGTCCTTTGTCTTAGCCTTTTTGATTTTTAGGTGAGGAAATCAGGCCCAGAGAAGGGAGTAGCTCACCCCGGGCCTCACAGCAAACCAGAGGCAGAGCCAAGATCAGGTCCTGGGCTGACTGCCTGCAGGTCCTGTACCCCTGATGAGGCACCTCTCTGCCTTTCATGATCTTGGCTGAGCCCCTTTCTCTCTCTGGGCTTGGTGTACTTGCTTCCATCCTCTCACKCATCCTCTCATTTCTCATCTTCCAAAGACCCCCGCCCGCCTGCCTCCCCCCACTCCCCCCAAGCTGATTCCTTCCAGCAGATGGAGAGTCTTTGGCCCATGGCCAGGTTTTCCTCCTCTGGGCCCCAGGTTTATTGCCGTGCCAGCTCTCAGCCCTCCCAGGACATCCCCCCTCAGCACTGTTCCTCCTACAGATTTTTTACAACCTCAATGAAGCCCTCCGTGCCCATCAAGCTCACATTCCCTCCTATCAGGGGAGTGCCTCTGTCATCTCCCAACTTCAATATT